TTACCATTGGTTCTTGAACATATGCTACCTCTTGGCAAGGATAAAGGCTCACTGGTTCTTTGTGGTACTCTGTTTATTCATTCCATCTCCCATTGATCCTTTTTATTCCATATTTTGTCCATAGAATCTTTCAATATTGAAACTTGAGGTTTGAATGTTTTTCCTCTAGTTCTCTCAGTTGACAATGTGCTAAAAGTGTGTTCTTCCTTTTTTGGTTTTCCCACTCTAGGTTTTTGTACATTTAATGATAATATTTTACTTTATTGTCTTTGGCTTTCCTTTGAAAATTTCTGCTCAGCTCTGCTGATTTCATAATTTCTTCCATTTGCTTCAGTTACTTTATGATTAAAGCCTGCTTCAGACTCTTCTGACATTGCCTTGGATCTTTTCTTTTTCCACTGCCTTTTAAATGACGTTTTCTCTCTCCATGTATGATGTTCTTGAGGTCAGCCTATGGCTCGTTAGGTCTTCTGTCATTAATGTTCCACTAGTCAAATCCTATCTTGAGGTGTTTCTGAAATTCTGATGGAACGGATTCCAGGTCTCATTATGGCTCTTGTGGACTTGTTTTAATTTCGTTCAACTTCATCCTGAACTGCCATATGGCCTGCTCCACAGTTGGTGCCTGGTTTCTATCAGCTGCTGTTATTGAGCTTTTCCATTGTCTTTTCTTGGAGCTAGTCAGTTTGATGTATATATATCCCATCTGGAGAATTCCTCGTATCTAATTGGCTCTTATATTATTGAAAACGGTATTATTAAAAAGGTATTAATGATTAAGAAGTTGTTGGTCTTGCAAAACTCTATCATGTGATCTCCAACTTTGTGTCACCAAGGCCATATTTTCCAATTAGTCTTCATTCTTTTTTGTTTCCAACTCTTTCATTACAATGCCAATAACTGTCCATGTATCTTGAGTGCATGTCTGATCAATTTCAAACTGAAGACATAGGTTAGAATCTTTAATTTCATCATTAGCTTTTAGTGATTAGTCCATAAATATGAATAATCATATTGACTGGATTTCCTTGTATGAAGGTAGATATTATCCTATTACAGACAACACTGACTTCAAGTTCTATCTTGAAATGTCCTTTTTTGACTATGAATGCGACCCCATTTCTCTTGAATTTGTCATTCCCAACATAGTAAACCATATAATTATCTGATTCAAAATAGACAATACCCTTCCATTTCAGCTCACAAATGCCTAGGATATTGACCTTTATGTGGTCCATTAAGTTTTTCATGACTTACAACTTTTCGAGATTTTCCTTAACTTACAAATTTTCCAGAATGTACTTTATACATTCCAAGCTCCAATTATTAGTAGATATTTAGAGCTATGTCTTCTCATTTTGCGTTCATATTCTATATATAGCTCACATAAATTCTGCTTTAATGTTTGAAGAAGTTTTAAAAGAAGTTTCTATGGTAAACAGAAACTCAGAAGTACAGACATCATGATAAATTCTGAGTATCAGTCATGCAGGGGTTAACATGTTAAAAACAGAACAAGAGCAAGATGGGTTGTTCCAGTCTGAATAGATTTTTTTAAGGCAGTCTTTTAAAAATATTGTATAATATGTTAAGTAATTTACTTTGAGGAAAATGCAAATAATTTTAAGCAGGAAAGTAAAGTCAAGATGCTGATGCATATAGCCAGTCACTGGAGAAGAAGAGAACTCTAATATCTGAATCCCAGGCATTTAATAAAGTATACACACTAATGCAAACCTAAGTAGCCCCAGAAGCTTTATCAACAGTGCATTTAGGGCAATAACTATCAATTTATCTATGGGAGCCCTGATATGAAATGTATTTAATATAAAAAATATACAGAGGATGGTAGGAAAAGAGAGATACACAATAAAATAAAGTAGAAAAGGTAGCAGATTCCTGAATATGAAGTATAGCAGAGGTGAATGGGGCAATAGAAAGCAAGGTGATACCGCGTGTCTTGAAAGAGAAATGGCCAATAATAGAAAACATAGACAATATGATCAGCAAAATGGAAAAGAATTTCAATAGACCTGATAGTTAAGGGGGTATTTGTGGTCCTATCAAGAGTAACCCTGATGGTGCAGTGGGTCAAATTGGGCCACCAACCACGGGATCAGCAGTTCTAAGCCACAAGCTACTCTGCAGGAGAAAAGTCAGGCTTTCTACTCCCATTAAGACGTATCATCCAGGAATGCCCCGGGGCAGTTCTCCCTCCCCTGCAGGGTCACCATGAGTAGGAACCTACTTGATGGCAGGGAGAGAAGAAGAAGATTGTTTTCCTCAAATAATGGCAATTAAAATAAGTCCTTTATAGACTGAGGATCTAGGGGTGGGTTAAAAAGGTGAAATGATTCTAATGCTATGCATGTTTTACATATTTAGCTAAAAAATATATTTAGATATTTAGCAGAGAGTGATGGGCTAGTGACTGGAAGATACTTGCTAGATTCAGGAAAACAAGTTATGTGAGTAGGCTGACTGGTAGCATTTACCCCTATTACCTTTTAATATCATGAATTATATGCTGAGAACAAGTTTCTGATTTAATGCTGAGAACAAGTTTCTGATCGTATACAAAGGAATCAAATTGTGAAAAGGGAAAAAGGCAAAATTGGCATGAGCTTTCTTGTAAGAGCGGAGGGAAAGCTATGAGTTTCTGACCATCTCCATCACAACTCCCGGGTCTTTTCTCAAAAAGTGTCCTAGTTTTTGACCTCCATAAGAACAGGAAGACTGATAAGGTTGTTCCTTTCAATATATTGGCTTGTGAGGAGCGTTGAAGTTTTTGTTCATCAAAGTCATAAAAACAGACTCGAAGGAACACAAGACAATTGGTTTAATAAGTCAATGTAATGTTAAAGATGAAAAAACAAGGTTAGAAAGAAATCAGTGCTAACTTTGTCTTTAGGAACTGTTTATTATATGTAGTTCTTTTTGAATTTACCCAACATTAAGTTAACTAGAACACTTCTGTTATGCACATGCCAATGATTGCTTTCTTTTGAAATATCTCGTAATAGATTTCATATTTTCTTGAACTTCTATTCAATTTCTATTTTTAATGAATTTTTACCTGATGTTTGTATCTCCAGTATCGCAGGAATAATCATCCTTATGATAAACTAAGGAACCGGATTTTGGGAATGGTCAATTTTGTCAATATGGTAAGCTTTCAATCATTTTGCAACATGTTAAAATATAAAGATAAATGGAAAGATAGATATCTGCTGAATTTTTGTAGCAATGCTGATACTAAAGCATCCCAAAAATAAAATTCACCAGAGACTAATTAGTAAAAATGTATTGAAATATACATAGCAACAAATGAACCTCTGAGATTTTTGGTTTTATGAGTTAATGTTGTTAGTATTTAAATAAGTTTAAATAGTGGCCTCTCATCATACAGTTATTTTTAGAATGTATAAAAATTTCCCAGCCATATATAAACCAAATGTCATTAAATCACTTCTCTATAGAGTCCCATAACAAAATGGTTTTCCAACTATATTTTATTGTTCATGATTTTGTGTAGAATTAAACATATATATTTCAGTCATATGTTTACTATGTCTAATTCAGAATAAACAGTACCAGTTTTAAAAAGCAATATTGTGAATCATACACATCTTTTTTTTTTATACTGACTCTAAAATACCCTGGTTTCATTTGTAGGATAAAGAACCATGTAGATAAAGATGCTGTGAAGCAGGATCCCTCGAAGTTAGTAGTTATCTATTCCCCAGTTGAAGGATAGATGTTTATTTTTATTTTTTTACTGATAAAACTTCTATAAACATCTAAAGCATTGTGCAAAGTGTAAACATCTAAAGCATTGTACTCAAAACTGCTTTGCATATTCGTGCAAATATATGTACAGACAAAATTCATTTCATGTAAACACTGAGACAGTGAGGTTAGTGCTAAGTTACTTCATTCTCAGAAATTTTGATAAGTTTTCTATCACTTTTAATTTAATTGTAAATATGTATGATATCTCTATGGTTTTCTCTTTAATTCAGTTATAATATATAAATGTGTCAACTAACTTGGAAATATTGGGGGATTTTAAAGTATATCTTTATTATTTATTTTTAATATTGGTTCTATTAAATTTGGAGATATAATTTGACCCTTTTCAGTTATATTAAAATTTTGAGATTTATCTTCTAGCCCAGAATCCTTTCTATCATGATGAATGTTCATGTGTAGTAGGAAAAATCAAGGTTGGTTATATTTTTGTACAAATATCAATTGTATAAAATTATTTGATAGTGATTAGGAGGTCTTCCCTATTCTTACTGACTAGCTACTTGTTCTTACAATTATTAGAGAAAGAATATTGATATCTTCAATTATAATTGTGGGTTTGCATCTTTCTCCCATCATAGATTTTTGTTTTTGCTTTATATACTTTGAAACTCTGTGGTTAGATGAAAATGTACCTATGTTTGATGTGCCCGCTTCTTGAATTGGCACTGTATCATTGTGCAGGGCTTTCCCTGACTTCTGGAAATGCGCATTGTTCTAAAGTCTACCTTGTCTGATGTTACTACAGCCACTTCAGTTTTCATTCGATAAGTATTTGTATAATACCTTTTATTAACACATTTGCTTTAACTTAACTATCTCTTTATATTTAAAGTGAGTTTCTTTGGGGGGGGGCTGTTTTCTAATAGCTTTGGGGGCATAAATTCACATATCATACAATTCAAAAATTCAATCACATCAAGAGGAATTGTACAATAATCACTACAATCAGTTTTAGAACATTTTTTTTGATGATCCAAAGGCAAATTTTATTTCCAAAGTACAGCTTTATATATAATGAGGCAAGTGTACATAGCACTCAGAGTGTAACAACAACATGGTGATAAAATTTCTCTAAGCACAAACAATTTCTTGGGACTAATCTTTTTTTTTAATCATTTTATTAGGGCCTCATACAACTCTTGTCACAATCCATACATATATCAATTGTGTAAAGCACATTTGTACATTAATTACCCTCATCATCCTCAAACCATTTGCTCTCCACTTAAGCCCCTGGCATGATTTACATATAACCTCCTCCCTGGGGGATGGACAACAGAAAAGTGGATGAAGGGAGACATCGGACAGTGCAAGATATGATAAAATAATAATTTATGAATTATCAAGGGGTCATAAAGTGAGGTTCTTATAGGCAGCAAGTTTTTCTTTGCCCAATCTGATAATCTCTGTCTCTTAATTGATATATTGAGACTATTCACATTTAACATGATTAATGATATTATTGGATTGAAATCTATCATTTTATTTATTGTTTACTCCTTATTCCATCATTTATTTGTTTCTTTTATCCAAATTTCCTGTCTGATCAAGCATCAGTTGAATGGTTATTATGATCCATTTTCATTCCAGTATTGGAATTTTACTTATACCTCTGTTTCATTATTAAACACTGTCTACCTTCAGAAAAATATGTCACTACACATACAGTTGAAGAAATCAATAATACATCAATATTTCCCATCCATCTTAACGCTAATGTTCTATCCATGCTTTTAAATGAGCTATATTATTTAGGACACTTTCATATTTGTAATATATGAGAGGAGTTCTAAAAGTTTGTGAATAAAATGGAATTGAAATTTCATGGAATTTTTGTACAAACTTTTGCCATATATACATATTTAAAAATTGAGAAAATAGTTAAGAGGTTTCTTATATACATCACATTCAACTTGGACTAATTTTAACATCTTACATTTGTATAGTAATTTTGTCGCTGTTAATAACACAATATTTATTAATTATTACTCATTTTTATTTATTCATATAACCTTATTTTTAACTTAATGTCTGTTTATGAATCAGTCTGTTATCCACTAAAGTAATGTCGTTGGTATTTAAAATGCCAGCAGGGTCACCCAAAATGAACAGGTTTCAGGAGAACTTCCACACTACAAACAGACCACACAGAACGAATTGGCTGTTGCCTTTGAAGGAGGTAGCAACTGAAAACCTTATGTCTGACACGGACACATTGTCAAATACTGAAGGCCTAAAGAATGGAAGAGAACACTGTTGGAAATAGTGCTGGAAGATGGTCCCTTAGGCTGGAAGGCACGTGAAGTGTGAATGAGCAGGAGCGGATTCTCAGAGTAGAGTCAGTATGGAGGCATACGGAAAATGGAAGAAAGCCTGTAGGAGGAGACATTTTGGGATCTATATTTGCTGATGGGGCACAGATTAAGGTGAGAAGAAACAGCCGTAGACATCAGCAAATAATCAGAATGTGGAATGTCATGAGCTTACATGGACTGGTATTGACCCTTTTAAATAAAAAAAAATCATATGGCTTACTATGTTGGGAATGAGACCATCAAGAGGAATTGAATTGTATTCATTGTCAAAGAGAATATTTCAAGCTCTATCTTGAAGTACAATGCTTTATGTGACAGGATTAAATCTCTCCACATTCAAGGAAATACAATCAAGATAACAAATTATACAAACAATATAACAAATTTATGTACCAACCACAAAAACTCTCATGCACTCACTCACTGCTGTTGAATTGAAGTTGCCTCATAGCAGCCCTATAGGAAAGGGTTGAACTGACTCTGTGGGGCAGTCCCCAAATGGTAACTGTTTCCAAGAGTGGACTCTTTGCCTCCTGAGGAACAGCTCTGGGTTTCAAACTGTGGATCTAGTGGACCACAACCCAGCATCACCACTACAGCATCAAGGCTCCTTGCCACAAAAATGAATGACGAAGAAATTGAATAATAGCAATGTTGGTCACTGATAAAACTTGCAATCAAGATGCAGTGATAGTTATTATTAATTGGAATGCAAAAGTTGGAAACAGAGAGAAAGGGATAGTAGCTGGAGATTGCATGATAGAGTTTTGCAAGACCGATGACTTGTTCATAGTCAATACCTTTGTTGAACATCCAAAAGGCAACTAAACGCATGGACTTTCCACCTGGAACACACAGAAAGCAAACTGATTATCAGCAGCTAAAACCAGGGCAGCGGTCAACTGTGGAACACATCATCAATTGCTCATATGTACGTTCAGGTTAACGCTGAAGGAAATGAAAATAAATCCATGAGAGCCAAAATACAACCTAGAATGTATCCCACCTGAATTCCAAAAGCATTCTGAGAACAGATTTGCTGCGTTGAACACTAATGACACAGGATCCGATGAGCTGTGGAGGGACATCAAGAATATCGTTCATGAAGAAAGCAAAAGGCCATTGAAGAAACAATAAAACAAAAAAGAAGGAAAAGATCATAGTGGATATCAAAAGAGATTCTGAAACATGCTTTTCATTGCAGGGTAAATTAGGCAAAAAGAATAAATGAAGAAGTAAAAGAGCTAAATAGAAAATTTCAAAGAGCAACTTGAAAAGACAAAGTCAAATTTTATAATGAAATGTGAAAAGACTTAGAATTAGAATTAGAAACCCCAAAATGAAGAACATACCCAGCATATATTACACTGAAAAACTACAGGAAAAAATCCCAACTCAAAGATCCTATAGGAAAAATATTGAATGATGCAGGAAGCATCAAAAGAAGATGGAAAGAATATGCAGGGTCACTGTACCAAAAAGAACTAGTTAATAGTCCACAATCAAGAAGTGCCAAATGAGCAAGAACTAATGGTACTAAAGGAAGAACTCCAAATGACACTGAAAGCATTAGCCAAAATTGAGTGTCCAGGAATTGATGTGATACCAAGTGAAATGTTTCAACAAGCTGATGAAGCACTGGAAGCACTTAGCAGCTCCTTGTCTGGTTAACTGGAAGAGATTCATATTTCTAACCATTCCAGAGAAGGCGACCCGACAGAATGCTCAGAACAATATCATTGATATAAACATGCACATCAATGTTTGTTGAAGAGCTTCCAACAGCACTTACAGTAGTTCCTTGACAGGGAGCTGAGCGAGGCTCAGGCTGGATGCATCAAAGGACATGGAACTAGGGATATCATTGTTAATGTCAGCTGGATCTTGGCTCAAAGCAGAGAATACAAGAAAGATGTTTACTTGAGTTTTGTTGATGATGCCAAGGCATTCAACTGTGTGGACCATAACAAGCTATGGATAGCCTTGAGAAGAATGGGAATTCCAGAACACTTCATTGTGCCCCTATTGAACTTGTGCATTGACCAAAAGGCATTCATTCAAACACAAGGGAATGTTGCATGGTTTAAAATCAATCAAGGTGTGTGATAGGGCTGTATCATCGCATCATACTTGTTCAATCTGTATGCTGAGAAATTAATCAGAAAAGCTGGCTTATAAGAAGAAGAATTTGGCATCAGGACTGGAGGACGACTTATTAACAATCTGTGATATGCAGATGATGCAGTCTGCTTGCTGAAAATGGAGAAGACTTGCAGCACAAACTACTGCAGATCAAGGATTTCAACCTTTGTTAAGGATTGCAACTCAATGTAAAGAGGAACAAACCTTCACAACTGGACCAATAGATAATGCCATGATAAACGGAGGAAAGATTGAGGTTGTAAAGGCTTTTGTCTTGCCTGGATCCACAATCAGTGCTCATGGAAGCAGTAATCTAGAGATCAAATGACACATTGCATTGGGTAAACCTGCCGCACAAGATCTCTTTAGTGTGTTGTAGCACAGGATGCTACTTTGAGGACTAAAGTGCACCTGACCAAAATTATGGTATTTTAGATATCCTCATATGCATATGAAAATTGGACATTGAATAAGGAAGATCAAAGAATTGGTGTTTGAATTGTAGTGCTAGCAAAGATTATTTAAGTACAAGGGACTGCTTCACTCAGTATAATGTTCTCATTAACAAGATGCAGATGGCATGACTATTATCCCTGAAAGTGAAGAAGATTTGAGCACTTGCTAAGGAAAATCAAAGTCCTTTAATATGCATCAAAAGTACTCACAACTCGACCCATAAACATCATCATGGAAAACAGAAACTAGATCGCAGTGGACATTGAAAATGTCAATATTACCAGAAATACTTTATAAATTCAATGCAATTATGATCTAAATCCTACCACCATTAAAAATTTGCAGCTTGGCCTAACCCATTTAGGATCTCACATATGTTTTGTATGCCAAGTCCTATCACAGCATCAGCTGGGTTATCTCTGCAGTGTCTCATCAGGGTGTGTTGGGCTGAGGCTCCAGGGAGACTTGAGGTTCTCCTTACTTGAGTTGGTAGAATTCATTCTGATGTGTTTCTGAGACAGTTCCTTTCATTCCTTCATTTCTCAGGCCTTCTCACAACATGACAGCCAACAGGGCAAACTTTCTGCACCAAAGTTCTGATCATTTGTAAGCTACTCAGTTAGTTCCCTCTAAGCTTTACCTTTTCATCACTCAAACTGGACTGATTCGGGAAAGTTAATGTCTCTCCACCTGTGTTATGTAGTGTAACCTAATCACTGTAATGGAATGCATGACATTCACAATGCAGCTTACATCAAAGTGGAGGGATTATACAGGACACACATGCCAAGGAGCAGGAATCCTTGGGGGCTAGCTGAGAATTCTCTCTACTACATCCATCTTTTCTACGATGAAAGGAAGTAAAAACAAGTATTAATACCAGGGTTTCAGTTCAAACAAGAATGAGTTTATTTTGATTGAAACTTGTTTAAGCACATCTCTTCAATCAGAGGATGGCTATAGTCAACTTCTCTGAGTTACCCTTGTCTCATCTGAGTGCCTTAATAGGGCAGATGTGGGGCTAGGAGTGGGAGCTGCCGACTAACATAGTGGCTTGTGCGGGGATCCTTGGGCCAGTGAACTGGGCCAGTTACTTCAAGACAGAAAGGTCAGGTAATTTTTCTGTGTGATTCCAAAGTGGGAACACTGATAGATTTTTTTTTTCTCAAAGGACACATGAGAATAACAAGGCTTATTTGAGGAAATGTTAAAGAAATAAGAAATGACATTTATGATAAAAAGAAAAGGAAAGTTGCATAGAGGATTTATTTTTCTCCATGTGACAAAGGTAGCAGGGGCTATCTGATGAGAATTTCATGGGGAAGACTTAAGCTACTTACACTACAACCCTGATCTTGCCCCTTCAGATAGCTTTTTGTTCCCCCAAATTCGAGAACATTTGAAAGAAATACAATTTGAGTTCTCTGAGGATGACAAAGCTGCCACGTAGATGTGGTGTAAGTCATAGAACATAGAATTTTCCAGTGGAGGATTAGGGAGGTGGAAACCCAGCCTTCAGAAGTGGACCTCCACGGAGGGGATAGAGAGAAAAAATGACTTCCTATTTTGATAATTTTATTCAATAAAGGCTCTACGATTTTATAGCAAGACTTCTTTACTCACTCCTATAGATCCTTTTCATGTGTTCATTATAATCAGATAGTTTCGACACGGGCGGTCATCTTCGTGTCTAGTCTGTTGAACTTTATCTCTTGATTTTTTGTACTTTTGTATTTATTCAATACAGGACATTATATGAGTATGCAAGATAGCGACAGAGGCAAAAGTGCTTATATGTGGATGGCATACTTCTTCTCTTAAACCATTAATGTATGGAATTGAATCAATACTGTTAGAAATTAAACAATTCAGTGTGTTGTTTTCATCTACAGCATCTGTAGCATCATTTTAAATTCCCCTAGCGTTATCTCTACCCAATGACTTCCATGGGGTCAATTCCAACTCATGTCAACCCGAGATATGGCTTCTGAGACGAAATCTTTATGCGAGTGACAGCCTCATGTTTCTCTATTTCTTTTTTGCGCTCTTAAGTCACATGATTTATCATTCATTCTTCCAATCTACTTTGTAGTTACACACACACACACACACACACACACACACACACACACACGAGGGGTACCTGAAAAGAACTAGACTTTTTTTTCAAAGCTATGTATTTAATTTTTTTTTAACCAAACAACCTTATCATCTTCAAAGTACACATTAAGTGTACTATCCCTTCCACTTAATACCTTTGTTAAATCTGCTATTCCATTCTTGGGAACATTTTGCAAACTCAATCTGTTTGGATGGCTGACAGCGCTTCCCTCATTTTTTTTCTTCACCTCTTCCTTAGCAAATAGCCATCCTTTCATGTCCCTCTGCATTTGCAGAAACAAAAAGAAGTCATACAGAGCAAGGTCAGGTGAGTAAGGTGCATGGGGCAAAAGAGGAATGCTGTTTTTTGCCAAAAACTGGCGCACTGAGATGGCTGAGTGAGCAAGGCATTGTCATCATGGCAAAATCAGTCCCCCATCTGCCACAATCAGGCCTTTATTGTCACGCACTGTTACACTCTTTTCAGAATTTTTAAAGAGAAAGCTTGATTAACAGTCTGACCTGGTGGAAAAACTTCAAATGCACTATGGGTTGACATTTTCATCCATTGGGGAAGTTGACAAATGTCCAGAATGAGGTTTGCCATCAATCAACATTTCACCTGTTTTGAAATGAGAAAACCACTCAAATACTTGAGTCTTTACCATAGTGCTGTCCTTGTAAGCTGTGCTCAACATCCAAACCGTTTCTATGGCATTTTTCCTGAGCAGGAAACAAAATTTCACAGTTGCCTGCTGTTCTCTTAAATTAGCCATCACAAAATATGATGTTTGAGTGAAACTGCTTTTATGAGAAAATTCACTGTGACCAAAGAGAACCTTCCCAGGTGACAGCGAGTTGCTTAATGCTCGTCTAGCAGGAAAATGTGTATGTACTACGAAAGCTCCACTCTTCCCAGGGAAATTTTGTCTTCTTTGATATATATATATATAGTTATATAGTTTTATAGATATATATATAGTTATATAACCAATAGACTATTTTAAAACGTGTAATCAACATGAAATTATGTCCTTTGTCTCAAAAATCTAATAATTGATCAATTCTGCCATCTTTTGTCTTGGCACGAAAGTATGTGTATCTATCAACTAGGTGGAAGCAGATGGGAATGAGCGCAAAGGTGTATGGGCTACAACTATTTCTACCTATTTTAAACAATCCCCATTGATACTTCCTAGACACCAAGGTAGTTCTAAACATCAAATACTGAGAACAAATATGGCAGAGAGGCCTAAACCAATGCATGACTCAAAGTAAAGAAAGGAATTTTGAAAAATAAAAAATAAGAGCATTCTATTTTGTCTCCTGTTGGGAAATTCACATTATTATCAGTAAGTTGTTTCTTATAGACCCAGCCCAGCCCAGTGCCTATAAGGTTTATCATGGCTCAAAAGGAATCACGTTTGCTTCTTTGTCGGACACAGCAATTCACTGAGTATTCTGAATTGCTTTATGCAGCATTCTGCATACTACAACTTCCATAAAAGGATGCCTACACTTTTAAATAAATTTATTTTTTATGTTTAATGTAAAGGAATATAGACATGGTATTGACTGTATGAAAATGTATTGTCTGTTTAAACAGATTTACAAAACATTGAACCTTTATGTGACATTGGTTGGGTTTGAAGTGTGGACAAATGAAGATAAAATCAAAGTAGATGCAAACATAGAAACCACTTTGTCAAGTTTTTCATCTTGGCAAGAAACAGTCCTTAAAAAGAGGGGGACATTTGATCACGTTGTGTTGCTCAGGTATGTCTCTACTCTATTTTCCTGCACAGTTCACTGTGAATTAACTTTTTAAAAATCAAAATGAATTCCCCAAAATATATTTAAAGCAATTACATTTTGAGTCTGATCTGGGAACAAAATGTTATGTCTAACTCTGAAAAAACTATAAATGCACTATTTGTTAATCCTTCTAATATTGATTAACACTAGAAAGGAAAACTCTGATACAGATTGGAAAATCCAAATCAGAATGGAAAATATCATTAGGTAAGCAAAGCGATTTTAGAATCCGTTTTCTTCATTTACCCAAATCTGGTGCTCACACTTCCACCCTCTACTGCCATTCCAGGCCCTGAGGTCCTATGGGTCCCCATGTGACAGTCCTCAAAAGTCTACTTTTCTCAAAAAGCACCTCATTCTCTGGGCATATTTTGCTCATTCAAAGTAGTGCTGTACTGACAAGGCCTTTGGATTACTAAAGAGGGTGGTATTTTAATCATTTTTTGTTATTCAATAATTAGATCCAATACTAAGCCCATGAAGAAATGATCAATAATTGTGCATCTGATTTGACCGTAGGTTTATTTGGGTTGTGCTTCTGTTACTTCAAGGAATGTTTAGTTATGGAAGAACTTATTTGAATGGAGTCTTTTTAGAAGTCCCTTTGATCCACATAAAGCTACTCTATTAGAATAGCTTCCACTTTATCTTCTTCATCAACAGCAACAAAACATTTCTCCTGACGACTGAAAATACACTTTGCAAATTTTTATGTCTAGATGTTAATTTTCAGTTTGAACTCAGAACTAGTGCACCTTGTAGGCTGCACTTGAAGGTCAGATCTAGCTTTCTGGCAAGTAGATGAGACTGAACCATACTCCCAAAGTAATGTCATTCCTACATTACATAGCTGGGATGGCCCATGGCACGTATCTCCAGAGGAGAAGTTGAACTTGGCTTCGACTTGGGTATTCATACATTCCAAACCCAAATCCAAAGCTACAGCCATTGAATTGATTCTGACTCACGGTGACCTAAAACATGATGGATAAGAAGTAGTAAACTTTTACTATGAATGTTATTTATCATGGGTATTTTAAAATAACAAATAGGGCCAGAAATATTTAAAGTACATTTAAATTTTTAAAACATTTTTTTAATTTTGATAGTCTTATACTGAGCAGTGAGCAATAGTGTTTCATACAACAGGATATCTGCAATAGGGAAGTCAAAAGAGAGGCACTACTAAAATACCATCTGCATATATCTGAGCCTTGTGCTGGGTTTCTAATATGCTTTGCTTTTGACATTGACATAGGTTTACAAAGGGGTGAGTGAGTAGCACGGGTCACCGTGGTGCCATTTTCATTTTGACGTGACCAGGAAAGAAATCAGCTCCGGATTGCCCCTCTCTGCTATTGTTTCAACCCCATCATTGATCTTCTCCCAAGAGCTCCACAGTCCAGAAAAACAGAATTCTAAATCTCTCTAAAATGCATAGTCAAATAGTGAGACTTAAAAAATGCAGACGCAGGGCCCTTCTAACAGTAAAGAAAGAAACAGAACATATAACTTTGATTTCAAAAAAAACCAATAATGACAACTAAGTCTTAAAGAGAATATTTAGCCTAAAACGCTTCTTAACATTTGAGTCTTCTCTACAAGAGTTGTGATCAACTCTTTTTGAGTTACCCAACTCTGAAAACAAAGCCAACTTGGCTCATCTGTTTTTTATTTAGATAATCTTGAATAGTC